ATCATATTATATAAAAGTTATTAGCTCAGATTTGAAAATATATATAATTAAAAAAATAAAATAAGAAATTAAGGCACCCCCTTTGAGTTCATACAGAATCATGGATTGATCTCTGAGCTATTTACATTGCATAGTAACATATTCAGATTTCTTCCCCTAAAAATTCTAGTATTAATATAAAATGCATACATTTTAACTTTGGAAACAAAATGTATGCAGGGCCACTTGTTAATTTACACCAGGATCAATTTATTTAACAAAGAGCACAGCAGGTAGGATAATAATAAATGATGCAGGAAGTCACTAACACACCTGCTTGGTGTTCTTACAGTGATCAAAAATATCACCAGAGTCTCTTTAAATAGCAAAGCTGTGAAAGCCTTGCAGAAGCTGCGGTCAGATATGAACAGGGAAGTCCACCAACGCTACTGTTATGTCCTGTTCCCCAGTTACGACGAGTTGAATTTTGCTTTTCGAAATTAATGGAATTTTTTTTTGAAAAGAGAGTCAAAACAGAAATGAAATGGCTGCCTGAATTGGACACTGAAAGAAGCAATTGGCTGAAATGAGTCGACAAAGCGAATCAAGCCACCAAATGAGGCAATGAAATTAAAATAACTAAAATAATAGTTTTTTGTGCATCCCTATGCAACACTTTTTTTTCTGTCAAGAATGAACTCTTCAGACATCTAGGCAGTGCAGCATTCCTCTTTGGATGGAACAGGATCTGCATATACAAGCAAGTTAATTGCAATTAATTTATATCTCGTTAATTTCAATGGTACTTAAGACTGGATCAGGTCTGTATGTAAATAACTTCTATGTAACATCATGGAAGAGTCAGTCAGTGCTATGACCTTTGACAACAGTGGTCACATATTAGAAGGGATGGAAGCTGCTGTGAAAATAGAAGTGCTGGCCGTCTGACAGATGGGCATGCACAGAGATCTGTAGGGAAGGACCTTCGGGTTGTCTTTTTTTGCACTTCTGATGACTGGACACATCAAGCTGCTTTGAACGGAGTCAGACTATTGGTCTATCAAGGTCAGCACCATCTACTCTGACTGGAAGCAGCTCGCCAGGGTCTCAGGCCAAAGACTTTCATATCATCTACTACCAGAGTGATTTCGGGGATTGAACCTGGGACCTTCTGCATGCAAAGCAAATGCTAGCTCGCCGTGAGCAAAGTTCTGTATTGACTCAAAGAAAACCAACTTGCTGACTATGTGGGCTTTGTGAATGGTCAGGTGCTTGGCCTGGAAATCAGACATTGTGCAGGGGAATATCAGGATGGAGAAATACCTGCAGGTGCTCATTTTTAATTTTTAAAAAATCTTTGGGCTCCAAAAGAACTCATGTCAGCAATCTGTTACTGTAAAAGCAAAGAAGGCCCTGTTTTTGCAAAAAGAAATGAGAAGGGGGCTGGTTGGTGTGCTCTCTCTGTGCTTCTCAACACCGCAATGTTTCTTGTCCCAGAGGGGACACAGAAGTTGCGCTGTGAAAGCATATGTGATACCAACACTGAAGACAAATTTGTTCAGACAAATGAAGGACGAGGCTGTAAGTGGCATGATGGGCAACGCAATGTGACCGTGACATATGGCTGCTCCATGCCTGCTAAATGACAAGCGATGGGCATGTCAGCAGACAGAATGTAATGACATGCATGCTGTTGATGAAACATGAGTGCACAGACAACATCTGTCTAATTTTTCTGATAGTGACTCCAGGCCAGCTACGCTAGAGGATGGGGGCAAGGGGAAGGGAACTGGGGAGACAGCTGGGAAGGAAGCCGACTGTGAAGTCTGTTAGGCAAATCGATATTTTGGCAGGCTCATCTTGTCAAACGTTGTCAGCACTGACATGTGATGTGACAGCCATGTTATACAGAGGCCCTCTAACAAGATTGTAACAGGCTGTAAACACTCTGGATGAGGGAAAGCTTGACTGTTATCGGGCCTGTACAGTGATGTATATTATGTTCGGAGAAGGGGGATGCAAATCCCCAAGCCTCTTGCCCTAGAGTGATTCCTCTGCCTTTGGGTACCGACAGTGACGTGGTCCTTCAACTGGTTATCCCAGCAGTGGTTCACCGGGGACTGCTTTGAGTTTCAAAGGGCTAAGGATGCCAATGTATGGGCTGGGTCTTGAGTCATTTAATGTCGGCGGCCATTCTCAACTAACAAACACCTGTCATGTCAACTGCTTCGTGGAATGAATCAGTGGTAAGATGGTGGCAGGTGGAAAAAAGAACGATGCCTCAATTCTTTTTTTAACCAAGGTTTTCCACATACAGAATTATTCTGTCAGGGAGAATGTCTCAATCCAGGCTTCTCACAGTGATGTTTGAGCTGAATGTGCCCAGAGCGATGGGTTTTTCTTTCCAAAGAAACGGGGAAGAATGTTTCAGTTAATGGGGCAGAGGAAGCCAGATTCGAAACAAGTTTCCACGCTCTGCTGTTTGAAATTACACTGCCAAACAGCAGCATGTTTTAAGAGCATTTTTCAATGATTTACTTTTTATACCTCCTATGGGAGACAGATGTGCTCCCAAGGAATGACACATTTCCTGTTTTGAAATGGCACATTCTAAAATTTGACTCTCCATGCTGTAGGCTGAGCTAATAAAACCCAGCAGCAGATATCCCAGACGGGCCGTTGACAGTCTGCCCACGCCTCACACTCTGGAGTGCCTCCACTTTGCAGAACTTTGCAGTAAGCCTTTATATTCATTGCAGGTCAAAGGGTGTGAGAACAAACCTGCATACCCCATAGAGGTGGCATTAAAATTTCTTATACAGGGAGTGACTAACTATCTGAGGAGGCAGCTGTCTATAGCCATGCAGTAGAAAAGAGCAAGAGTCCAGTAGCACCTTAAAGACTAACAAAATACATGTCAGGGTGTGAGGTTTCATGAGTCACTGCTCACTTCTTCAGATATCTGAAGAAGTGAGCCGTGACTCACGAAAGCTCACACCCTGCCACGTATTTTATTAGTCTTTAAGGTGCTACTGGACTCTTGCTCTTTTCTGCTGCTACAGACAAAGATGGCTGCCCATCTCGATCTATAGCCATGGAGTTACCAAGCACTAGTGCTCTCACGCACAGCACTCTGTTGCCCAAGCTGCTGAAGAAACATGACCATTCTGGGTTCAGAGTGGCCAAAAAGCTACAACTGGCTTTGCATTGCAGAGGATGTTCTAAAGTGGTCACCATGAAGTATGTGCCTGTGTGTGATTCTTTACTGCAAAAAGTGGTTTAGCTCAGTGAAACGATTGTTGCTCCTGCACTTAGGTTGCTTTTGAGCATTTTCCAGTCTGAATACCTGAACAGGATCATCTTGTATCCACTTGCATTCTCATTACAGAAGCTCTATCGTTCACATATTTCTCGTTTCTAAATGTGCAGGCAAGTTGTGCTTTTTTAGAAAGAGATGGGGATGAAATGATGAGGGTCTGCATTTAGGGTTGCCAAGTCCCCGCTGTATGCACAGCGGGGGACTCCAGCCGCGGTCCGGGAGTGTGTGCGCGCCGCAACCACGTCACCCGAAAGTGACGCGGCCCCGCCCCTGGTGCGCCCGGCATGGCTGCGTCACTTCCGGGTGACGTGCTGATGCCGGGCACGACATGTGCTTTGGGGGTGGGGTTCCCCCCGGGGCCCGATCCGCCAGCGGCGGGTAATGGGCCTCTGGGGCGGGGGTTTCCCCGCCCCCCAGGGGGACTTGGCAAGCCTACCTGCATTCCTGTTTCAAGTTCCGCAATGAATACATATATTCCAGAGCCAGCATCAGCATACCCTGGTGGGTCCCGTTGTTGTTGACTTGGCCTCCATCTCCGCACTTCCTTTCCACTGGCACACCTGTCCTTCCTAGCTGATTTGTTTGCAAGTGCTCTGCCACCCATGCTCACAAATGCCCCAAAGTGAATTATTTTATAATTTTAATGTTGTTTTGAATTGTTTTAATGTTTTATGGGCACTGCCTTGGGGACCCTGATTGGGTGGAAAGGCAGCATAAAATGTTTTAATTAATAAATAACATTGTTGGGGAAGGGCATTTGGGTGGTGCGCAGCAGTAACACTCCTGGTGGCTACGGCAACAGCACTCCCAGCTGCACACACTGGCCAAGGCATGGGGAAAGGACACAAACACTGGTGGGTGGGTGGGAAGGAAGGCATGAGGGGCCTGGTGGTGGCCAGAAGGGGGGGGGACTGAGCACTATCTGCCTGTCCCCCCAAACCCCTGGAATTGGCCCTGAGTCATTCATGCTAATACACTGCTTTCCCCACTTACATACAGAAATGCAGGAGGATATCCCAGTGGTTCTAATTCCAGAGTTGTGGTGAACAGAGACAGCATTTCTGATTCTTGTAGTCCAGATACTTTTGACTTGCACTTATCTTTGCAGCTTCTTGAAGGAGTCAGGGTTTGTCTTGTCAGACATTTTCAGAGGTTTCTCTCCCCCTCCCCAATGTGTCACGCCCAACGTTTGCCATGGCTTTGAAGTAGGTGCTCACCTGGCTGCCACGATCAACCCAGTTTGACAGACATGAGTGCCTATGCTCAGGCAACAGACTTGGGCTGTCAGTTTTAGATATGAAAGTTTACTAGGGTCTTAACGGAGTTTTTAAAATGGGGGGGAATTTAAGAGATTGAAAGCTCCAAAAAAATTTCCTTTTTAAAAGTCAGAGCTACGTGAGGCTCTGTTTGCTTTACACTCTAAAAAGGCATACTGCCATAGATCTAGAAGGAAGCAACATTGGAAAAACTTTCTTGGTCTGACAATTTGCTTCCGCCAAGTAACCCTTAAGGTAACATGCCTTCCTTGCGTTAAGCCACATTAAACCAGCTCTTTCTTCTGATCTTTCCATCTGCTTCTCTGAAAGGGATGGGTTTCAGTCGTGGCTAGGAACTGAGCTACCCGTTTACTTTCCATCAGAAGTTTCACGGCTGTCATTCTTGAATTTACTGGCTCCAGCTTCTGGTTTGCTCATGTTTCTCTTCAGTCAGCATAATAATTTCCGAACTGCCACTTCTGATAAGGATTGGAGGTGGAACAAATGTTTACCCTTAGGGCTTTCTGAGACTGATCCACTTCTAAGCACGTGGCCTGTGGATGATGTTCTAAAACAATGTGATCCATCTAAAGAGAGAGGGAGAGAGAAACACTGTGAATGTTTTGTAATTTACAGAGCTGGTAAATTTCATTCGCTTGGTACCAGAGAAAATATTGGTAGATTATGGCCTCAGTCACTAGCTGTTAGATTCAATATGTATTGGTTGAAAAGGAACCTTGGGTAGTACCCAAAATTTACACCCGTTCTCTGGCCAGAACTTTATCATACCTTCTTTTGCTGCACAGCTTTTTAATACTTTGAAAATGCAAAGAGCAAAATTCTCACTGTCTAGGTGGTAATTATCATGCAAAGGAAATAATCTCAGATGGCATTTGAAATAGATGGCTACTTACTACAGGAAAGCTTGGCTTTCACGTTGCATGATTTCTCAGCTGATGGAGTATTAAGAACACTTAACTGTGATGAAAATTGGGTTGGGTAATTTGTTAATTACATCCAAGTGCCAGGATGAGAAAGTGGGTTGTGACATTGCAAACAGTTTGAACGATACAAGGAGAGGTATTCTGATTTATTTTGCATTTGGGTGAACTATCTTTGTCTGATTTTCTCAACTGATGAAGTTCAAAATGTTAACCACCAGTTGATTTACGGATGACTCAGACTAATTTATCCTTTAGAAATATCTCTATAAGGGTGCTAACAAATTCACATTGAGATTTAGGAATGAACATCTGAATTTAAAAGTAATATGACTTGGGACGTGCTTGACAGACCAGCTCTCCCAACAGGACCTTATAGGTTACCTCAGGTCTCCTGTGAGATCCATTCACCTGAACTCATTCCTTTACAGCAGGGGTGTTAAACTCATTTGTTACAAGGGCTGGATCTGATATAAATTGGGCCAGGCCATATGTGTCATAAAATGTAACCCCAGGTAGCAAAGATATTGAGGAATTTCACATTACCCTTTTTAAGCCGGTTTGAAGCCGTTTTTGATCTGTCGTGGAGTAAACCGGAATAGGGCTGCCATTTCACACATGGCTTTCCCCTACCGGTAAACAGCTGGATCTGAAGCGGTTTGTCATTTCAGACTGCACTGCTTTTTCCTGCTGTTTTTCGCCTGCGCAGCGATCGCCGGCTTTTTTTTTTAACGTTCGCTTTAGAGTGCTGTAACACAACACTCCAGGCATTCCAATGGGGTTGCTATAATGCTGTTTTGCTGTTGTGTCATAGCACTATAGCACTCTAAAGCAAACGTTTAAAAAAAAGCCAGAGATCGCCCGCATGGGCGAAAAATGGCAGGAAAAAGCGTTTTGGATCCAGGAGAAGAAACTGAAGACTACTTGGAAATGGTTTACAGGTAAAACGGTTCAGCCCCGTTTCCTGAACAGGACAGAAGTGTTTGTGTATGAAAGTACAAATATATTCTGGTAGGGAACCGGTTCTAAAACGGTTCTGTCTGAAATGTCAGACCAGAAACTGTTTGGGAACCATTCCTGAACCGGAATATATCACCTGTCTGAAATTCCTCGTTAACATTATAAAGGACACCGACAAACACAATTAAAGGGTTTTTAAAACTTAAAATACAAACATGCTTAAAACAGTAACACTCTTGCTATATTTTATTTAACAGTCTTTAATAACTGACACTTCCAAACCTTTTCCCCCTACCCTTAAAAGATGCCTACCTAAAATGGAAAGGAATTTGGCAATGCAATTTTTAAAATAAAACATCAAGAAAAAGCACAAGAATCACAGCAGAAACTAAAAATAAAAACTAAAAACATAAAATGCTCTGAGCCTAGGAAAACATGAAGTGGCTGGGCATTGCAAGCCCCCCCCCCCCCCACAGGTCTACTCAGAATGGCAGTGGCTCTCCAGTGTAATGTCACCTTTTGCTGTGGGTTTCCAACTTAGAGTACTCACTCAGGCACCTGATCTCAGGTCCATTCAGCAGAGACAAGCTGGTTCAAAACATCAGCCCTTTATTTAGAAGCAGACAAATTCAACTGGCATACAAACACTGGAATCTGAAACTCCACTCCATTGAAATACATTGCAGCTCAAAAAAAGCTGCAAAGAAAATGTGGAATGGATTTTCCATTAAGGTTTCTGGGCCCAGGTACTCTGGGAGTGGAATGACAGCCCTCAGAGTGGAATTCCATTCCCAGAACACAGCTGCTACTCCCAGGGACCGTCATTCCACTCTGGGGGCTGCTATTCCAGTGCCAGAGTAGTCTATCTGGCCTAGAGACCTTAAAGGAAAATCCGTTCCACATTTTCTTTGCGGCTTTTTTGGTGTTTTAGCTGAGAGGAGCTTCCTGCTGGAGGAGAAACTGCGAAGACCAAACCCAGCTAGCTGGGAAGTTTGCAGCCCCGATCTGAGGACAGGCAGGGGAGGAGGTGGGGGTGGAGAAGAGAAACATGAGCCTGATTAAAGCCCTGGGTGGGCCGCTTTCGGCCCAGTGGCCTTAGGTTTGACACCCTGCTTTACAGAAACACCTTTTACTCTCTAGAACAGTTTGCTAGAAGTGAGGACAACCTCTGTTTTAGTCCAGTACCACAAGCAGTGTAAAGCCACCCTTTATTGGTTATTGAACCTACTCTGAAAGAGGCTGGAGAGATGGCTTGGATGATAAGAATTAAGACATGGCCAGTATAGATATTTTCTATTTTCTTCCGGCTTAAGATTTATAAGGCAATTGTGGAAAATACACCTACCCTAATGTCTTTTGGCCACAAAGCCAAAACATTCCTTTTACCTATATTTTTAAACTGAGGGTATTTGATCTTTATACCTGTTTTATGATTTCCTTCTGCTCTGAGGTCTATTTTATGGATATCTTCATGCTTTTTTTTTTTTAACGGATTGTTTCTTTTTTATATACTGGTAACTCGCAATGAATTTTTGATGCTTTTACTTGTGAGAGCAGGACTCTGGGGAGGCAGCATTAAAAGCTCCTAAATATGGACAAGGGAAGCTGTTTCTCCTCCTTCTTGAACTGCTTTGTTCTTGAATTCATCCAAACTCCGAGCTTCAGCATTTTCCAGAGGCAACATTTCAGGCACATATTCTGTGACTAAGGAGAAGCGAAGGTTATGCGGCATGCCTCTCCCTCTTCAGGTGCACTGCACGTGCAGCAGTAGGCTTCCCTTATGCCGCTGCACAGACATAGCTGTGCAGCCTTAGCAATCCACCTGATCAGCACTTGTCACCTGATTATTCTGATCACCTATTTGGAGGGTGGAGGGTCGACGGAGCAGGGTCAGTGGTGTCAACTTGGATTGCAAAGTGCCTACAGCACAAGATAATAATAAGAAGAGATCGGATTTATACCCCGCCCTTCACTTGGGAGTCTCAGAGCGGCTTACAAACTCCTTTCCCTCCCCCTCCCCACAACAGCCACCCTGTGAGGTGGGTGGGGCTGAGAGAACTCTGTCACAAACGGCTCTTTTTCAAGGACAGCTGTGCCAGAGCTTGTGACTGACCCAAGGAAACATCAGCAGGTGCAAGTGGAGGAGTGGGGAATCAAACCCGGTTCTCCCAGATTAGAGTCCGTGCACTTAACCACTACACCAAACTGGCTCTCACCAAAGAGGCCCCACTGGGGCTTGAAAACTGCTGTCCTCCCTCAAATCCTCTTCTTCTTTCTCTCCCATGTGGTGGTGGAAAGTGCCATCAAGTCACAGCTGACTCATGGTGACCCTGTAGGGTTTCCAAGGCAAGAGTCGTTCAGAGGTGGCTTGCCATTGCCTGCCTCCATGTCACAACCCTGGTATTCCTTGGAGGCCTCCCATCCAAAGACTAGCCAGGGCTGACCCTGCGTAGCTTCCGAGATCCTACGAGACTGGGCTACCCTGGGCCACCCAGGCCAGGGCTTGTCCCCCACACAACCTGAAAAACCTTTCCGTGTAAAGTTACCTTCCTGATTACCTTGAGGCTTTGTGGTTGATTTTTCTTCGTTTTAAGCAGTGCAGATAAAAGACGGGCCTGTAGAGGACAGCCATTACCTCTGCAGAAAAATAGATCTGTCTTTTGGTTTCATACGACAGTAATAACTTTAGGTTGCATTTTCTCCCACCGGGCTGGTACTATGTTTCGGCAGTGTCTGATGCTTTCATAAAAACTAATCTGATCTCTTACCTCGGCGGATTAAATTGTGTAGGTGAAGCTTGCCGCTAGCTCAATCTTGTACAGGGGCAATCACCTAGGTCCAATTGTGCTGAACCTTATTATATTTTTAAAGGGGGGGGGACAACTTTCTTCCTGGAAACAAGGACCAATCTGTCTTAAGACCCAAAACTCAGCAGTAGATCAAATATTATCAGCAGCATCTGACAAGTCATCAGGAAACCGAAACGATCTTTTTCATGTGCTTCCTCTTGAGCTCAAAAAGACACATGTTCAAGTTGGAGAGCTTTTGTAAAGAAGAAACAATTCGAAGGAGCGTCGCTATCAGGATGTTGTACAAGACAATTGATCGGCTACTATAATGGCTATTGTTCCCCTGAATGAAAAGAACAGCGATCCTTTTACTTCTCTGTGTGTGTGTGTGTGTGGGGAACCCATTCTCATTTACTTTGGCACTTTTTAGTATTTTATTTCTAAAATTCACAGCTTGAAGATTAGGAAGTTTTTCTAAAAAAGATATCTGTCATTTGATTGATTTTTGGAACATGACAGTTTAGTGGAACTATTTTTTTATTATTATTGTTGCTCTGCTAAAAACTGAACATTTTGACGATGATTTATGGGCAGCCGTATTGATAGATAAATTGACCTGAGAAGCTTAAGCTGCAATGCTTGCCAAGGACTAGATTGTGGCCAAAGAAGGGTGGTCTGTTATTGAAAACATCAGTGTGTGGAGACTATCTGGAACAGAGTTAGTTGTGTATTACTCAACTGTAACTTAAACACAACAGACTCTATGATATAAGAACTTGCCTTATACTGTCTCAGACCAAGGAGGCATCTATCCCAGTACGGCCTACCCTGGTGCAGTAGTTCTCCATGAGGGCCTAGCTATAAGAACATAAGAGATGCCAATGTTGGATCAGGCCAAAGGCCCATCCAGTCCAACACTCTGTATCCCACAGTGGCCAGAAATACCAGTGCCATCAGGAGGTCCACCAGTGGGGCCAGGACATTAGAAGCCCTCCCACTGTTGACCCCCCCCAAGCACCAAGATGACAGAGCATCACTTGCCCCAGAGTCCCTATCTATACCTTGTGGCTAATAGCCACTGATGGACCTCTGCTCCATATGCTTATCTAATTCCCTCTTGAAGCCGTCCATGCTTGTAGCTGCCACCATTTCCTGTGGCAGTGAATTCCAAGTGTTAATCACTCTTTGGGTGAAGAAGTACTTCCTTTTATCCGTTCTAACCCGACCGCTCAGCAATTTCATGGAGTGCCCACGGGTTCTTGTATTGTGAGAAAGGACCTCTTTCTATACAATAGATGTGACAAAAGTCAGGCCAGGAGTCCTCTGACCTGACAAACCACTTTGTCACTTGCTGTAGTTTGAAGCACTGTGAGGAGGAAGTGGGGCTTCTGCCTTTGTTCCCGTGTATTTTCCCCTGGCAGAAACCTGCCATGGGGGGCCTGCGCTTACTCCTTTCTTGGGCTCCATGTGTCCCGTGAACATATGACTGAGGACACATGGAGCCCGAGAAAAGTGGTAACCCCCCCGGTGACCATCTCCACTGAGGAGAATGGTGTGGAATGGAAGGCAGAAGCCCCTGCTACCCTCCCCCTTAGAGTGCCTCAAGCTGCACCAAGTGACACGGTGGTTGTCAGATCACTCCTCCAACAGTACTTGTGACTCTGAGCGGGGTCAGGGGACCCCCAACCCAGCTCGCATCATGTCTGGCCCTGCTATCTGATATGTTTAGCTGGACACCAGTGGTGGCTTGTGGCATTTTGCCTCCCGAGGCTATCACCACCATTGTCCCTCCCTGACCTCCGCCACCCGGACCCCAGTCCTTATCTTACCGCTACTACTTCCACCCACACCTCTACTCAGGGAGCCACAAAAACGATTGCTTCTTATTTTTTCATTCTCCCCAGCCTCTTGAAAACAAATGCAGGAAGCCACAAAATGCCCTAAAGGGATCCCTACATTCGCATGAGATTCTTTCCTCCCACTAGAGTTTGGCCATTGCTTTTGGCAATGATGATTTTCAAGGACTGAGGAAAGGAGATGAGCATTGGCTCTTCTGGCTCCCAGGCAAGGACAGGGGCAATAAGGGATGCACTCCCCCACCCCCAAACCTGAGGTGCCCTCTTGCCTCGCCCGATGGATGAGCTGGCCTGCTGGAGACACCAGATATTAAACTATGAATCTATTTACACATGCTCTGTCATTCACCAAAAGTCCATTGCAGAGCCCAGATTGTGGGGTGCAACTCTGTATGGCTGGATTATGGTCCTACTTTATAAGCAGTTCAGTGACATCCAGGGAGTAAGAAACTGAGTATTTTGACTTCCTCATCAACTCTGTAACCTGGGGAGACTGCTGCATAGTAAGAGCATTACAGAGAAACGTGGTCCTGGCATGGACGTGAGAATTTCTGTAGTTTGCTGCGGCCTGGGGAAAACACTTCAAGACTAATTGCCACAATACAATCTATTTATGTCATTTTAGAAATAAAATAGTCATGAGACTGCATATATGGAACGGGAATATACAAGGGACAGTATAAGAAATGAAAAAGGGAAAAAGAAACCTGAGCCCTGTGAAAAGAACATGAAATTCTATGTTCCTAAAGTACACTTCTGGCATTGTTTTGATGGACATGCATTTCCAGACCTTTGCCTCAAGATGCCAATGTCACTAGAAGATGATAACACATATAGCCTGATTCACCATCTGGCAAAATTCCAAGGGTGTGTTTCTCGGCAGTGAAATGTATGCTGGAATTATAATCCTTGACCACATTAGCTTTCTCTGCAATAAGGAGGATATGTCTGCTTTGATTTCATTTTGAAGATACCAGGGCTGTGGTAACACGGAGCATTTGCCATGCTGACGATACGGATGGTAGGCGGATTTTCCGGGCACAATCACACTGCAACATCTGGGAAGCATAGCGCTCCCGTGGCTAACCCAAGGCTTCCCCCCAAAGATGCGGAGTAAAAAACTAGCACCTCCGAGGTACTAGTTTCCGGAAACCACGGGGCAGGGGCGGGCGTCTGATTGCGTTTCCGGTGGACTTACGTGGCATCCGGCGCCCACCGCTGTTCGTCGCACACAAGGGTTTTTTTTGTCTCCCAAGTCTCCGCAGGTTGCGCAACAGCGCCCAACAGCGCATGCGCACAAAGAGCGATTGCTAGTGCGATCACGCAGCACGGCTTCTGTGCCGTGCTGCAGGATACCCGTCTGGTCGGCATCTCCCCCCTAACCATGGGACCTTGACCGGGAAGTGCGCTCAAGCAGCCGTGTGTTAGTTTCCTCTAGGGCAATTAGCCACGCCTCCCCCCCGCGATATCCAGCCCGTGTGACCGGGACCCAGGAAATTCAAATCAGGGTTGGCCTATAGTGAGAACAACAGAGTCAGCTGCTTTGGGTAGTAAATTGCAGCAGGGACAACAACCTCCCATCCCACCTGCCTGTTTCTAGCATCCCATTGCTAGTCAGCTTCTGCCCAGTGCTATTCCTGCCTTGCTCCATCCACCTCCAACTGCCATACCTCTGTCTTGCGGTAATCCTTGCCCCTGCCTCAACAATATCACACCACATCCAGGAGCTTCGGCAGCTAATCCACTTTGCCTCCTGGTCTTTTCTAAGACAAGCATAGCAAACTACAGTGCCCTATAGGGCTTCCTGAACTGTGCAAGATCCATTTCTCATTACTCAAAATGGCTTACAATAATAGGTAACTCCCCCCCCCCATTTCCAGTTAAAACCAGGTGTCATGATCTGTGTAGGACTGGGAGACAAGGCCTAGTGAGGCCTAGGAGACCGGTGTGGGAGTGGCAAGCAGACAGGCTACAATCCCCACAATGCTTGGCACCAGTTGTAACCAATCGGTGTCCAGGGATTGTGTGAGGAGATAGTCACATATACTTTGTGGGCTGTGGAACTGTGTTCTCTCTCTACTGTGTTCTTTCCTCTCATAGAATTAAATTGAGGGGACAGTCTGGTCTCAGAAAAAGATCCCTCACTTGGGACAGAGTGAGTACAGGCATAGACCTGGTATAAAAGGCTGTGGGCCTTGAATAGTAACCAGTTAAGAAAAATAGGTAGTTGTGTAAGATTTGTTTATTTTGCCTTTAAACACTGTTATATATTTTAAGCGCCTTGTCTTGTTTTCCTTGCCCCATTGCTGTATTAATAAACCATTTGTTTAATGTTCTATGCCTGGTCATCACGCCTATATTTCTCGGCTTAAAAGGGGCATTTTGGTTGGGCTTGGGAGGGTACTCTGGGCCTTCCCAAGGGACCCTAAGTCCAGAGTGGTGGCACAGGAAGGTGGCAACCCACTAGGGGTCATGACACCAGGATAAAATAACAAAGCCCCAAATCTCTCTGTCCCTCCTTCCCCCCTTAAAAGATGTCTGCCATTCAACCACCTCCAAAAACCCTTGTGGCACCTCCAGAAGTTCTCCAAGAACTGCAGCGCCCCTAGAAGATCTGCAAGGAGGGGCCTCCCCTCCCCTCTTCAGGTAGCCTCATTCCACAGAATGGGAGCCATGATGGAAAAGACCCAGGCCCTGCTTGATGCCAGATGGGTCATTCTAGTTGGTGAGATAGCCAACAAATGGCTGCCTGATGACCAGAGTTATAGCACAGAGACATATGGAAGGGAACGGTCTTTCAAAACTGTGGGTATTAGGCTGTGAAGGGCTTTAAAGGTCATAACCAGCACCTTGAATTGAACTTGGAAACAAACTGACAGCCAATGTAGCTGTTTCAAAATGTGCAAAATTGCAAAAAACGGCGGCTAGCCCCTGACAACAGGTTGCCGCATTCGCAACCAGTGGTAGCACATTGCAGTAATCCAACCAGAAGCATGGACCCGCACAACCCGTTCAGCTGGCAACAAGAGACTTGGTAAACCAGATGCAGCTGATAGGAGGCTCCTGGCCACCGTGCCAACCTGCCTCTCAAACAGCAACCTGCTCTGGAAAAGCCAACTCCACTCCAGCTAGGAACATGTGGCTGCACTACTGCAAGAGAAATGAATCTTGAGAGAGTTTGTGAAAGATTCCTAGGGTATGTGTGGCTTGCTTTTAGACAGGCCTGGGGGAGAGAGTGGGCTAGGTGGGCTAGGAAGGACCATGGGGGAGAGGTGGGGCGGTGATCAAACAGAAGCCTAGAACAGCAAAACATCTTGAGCCGCCACCGAGTCAAATGTTCACAGACGCTGCCCTCTCCCTCTAAAATACAGCTGGAAAATAATGCCTGCACAAACCCTTTCCCTGTTTAAAAGACAAATGCCTGTCTTTGCCATAGAAATGTAAATGATGCGCACCATTTCCAGTTTAGACACAGCAAGGGGGAAACAGCCATTTGCAACCGTTGTACTTACGAGTTCTGGGTGAAAAGCAACCAGTGATTTATGCAGCCATTTCAGACTATTGTTTCTTTTATCGCAAGGGTGCAGGCCCAGAGTCCCTTTAGCATCCGTCAGCGCCAGGCAGAGGTCTCCGTGCTGAATCAGTCTCAGCCACGTGTAGTTGAACTTTTGGTTCTGCATATGGGAAGAAATCCATAACAGACTATGATTTCTTCTACAGAAGGGATTTTTTTTTTGTCTTGGACTTAAATTTTAAAGGCTAGACGTCAAATAAGGGTGCATTCCATGGTCATCATTTAAGCATGGTGATGTTCAGAATCAGCATGTGCCAGATAAGGATTCCTCATTTTATAGCCCATGAACCTCACTAAATCTGGCTCGAGAGCAGTCCTTGTCATATCCTAGCAAGCAAGTACCATTGCTTTGCAGCCAGTATAACCCTGAACATATCCACAGAAGGGGTGTCGTTTTCTCTTCTTGTAGCAATGGTGCAAATCATGATATTAAGACAATCTGGAAAACATATTGCTAAAAATATCAAAATGTATCGAAATACCAGGCAGAGGGATGCACCTGGCCCAAGAGAAGACAGTCCTGCCTGTAACCTTGGCAGTAGCCAGATCCCCTAGATTTAACTGCATGGCTGTTTTAAATCGGAGGAGCAAAATTAGCTGGGGAAAAGGTCCTGTTCTTGCAGGAATTCGTAGCAGAGGCGGGGGGGGGGGGTAGAGAGAAAAGAAGGGCCTACATCATTAGTGGCTTACCTAGCGATCCCCAACACTAGTATGACAGCAGGAGAAACAGGTGTTCACCCCCCCGACTCTGGGGGCTTTTCTGCACCTTTTATTTTCATTGCTTGTATGTCCATACTAGGAACGGGCTCACAAACCTTTGTTCGTGATGCATTTTGGGTGGTTCATAGTTCACAAACTGCAGACCAACCACTAACCTCCATGAACTTTTAAGAAGAAAAAGAAGAAGAGGAAGAAGAGGAGGAGGAGGAGATTGGATTTATACCCCACCCTTCACTACCTGAAGGAGTCTCAGAGCAGTTTACAATCCCTTTCCCTTCCCCTCCCCACAACAGAAAGCCTGGGAGGTAGGTGGGGCTGAGAGAGCTCCTTCAAGAACTGCCTTTGAGAAAACAGCTCTGAAAGAACTTGTGACTGACCCAAGGTCACACCAGCAGCTGCACATGGAAGAGTGGGGGATCAAACCTGGTTCTCCCAGATTAGAGTCTGCGCAGTTTGTGGGAAGTTCTTGGGTTCATGGGGAGTTTAAACCCGTGCTTTCTCCTCCCCATGAAAGCCATCAAAACAGCTGAGCAGTGGGAGCAGGCTGCTCCTGGCCGCTCAGATGCTTAGATCAGAAACTGATGAGTTGCAATAACAGCCTGTTCCTGCAGCTCAGCTGTTTCAGGCTATAAACAGTTGAGCCATATGGAGCAAACTGCTCCTGCACTCAGCTGTTTAAAGGGGCTTTCTTGGGCAGCAAGTCCCTTGGGCTCACTGCTCAAGAAAGTTCCTTTAAACAGCTGAGGCGTGCAAACTGCTCAGCATGGCTCAGCTGTTTAAAAGGGCTTTCTTGGGCAGCCAGCTCAGCTGTTTGGCTTAAATGGCTCCAAGCCATTTAAATCACTGCTTTCTGCTCCCCTTGAAAAGTGGAGGGGAGCAGAAAGCAGGGGTCAAGAAACCCATATGACCTGATTTGGTTTGTGAACCAACCTCCTGGTTCATGTAGGTTCATGGTTTGGTTTGTGATTTAGCTATGAACCACGAATTGAACCGAATCGCAAAAATGTGATTCGTGCCCATCCCTAGTCCTTACTGTATCAGGGTTTTTTCCCTTTCCTGTATATGCTTTGTTCCTTTTAGTGGTTGCTTCAGTATTTCATTACTGTTACCTCTAGTTTATTTCCCTGTACTTTTAAAGAGCCCAGGAATAAGCCGGTGATCCAGCGATGAAATACTAAAGTGACTACTAGAGGGAGCAAAACATGTGCAGAAGAGAAAAGGACACTATACAAACAAACAAGCGATGCAATAACATGTGCAGAAAAGCCCTGGAGATGGATGAAGAAGGGACTTCAGATCTGGGTTTGAGGGACTTCATTTATTACTAGATCTAGGCTGACTTTCTCCTCCTCTTCCTACTGGTATTGTGTGGGTGGGGCCAGAGGTGTGAGCTGAAAGGTGCTTGGTCTTTAACTCTTAGCCCAGGGCTTGCAGCCTGGGACCTGCTGTAGCCAGCCTGGCAGATCTGGAGCAGCCAGATTTGTTTGTCTTTGCCTGATTTGTCTATTTGTTTTTGTAATTTGGTTTGGGTTCTTCTTAGGGTTGCCATTCCCCCAGCAGTGCTGGGGAACCCCCTATTTTTGCGGCTTTAGCCTGTCACCAGCCAGCTGGCTGGCAGGGGAAACATTGCCATGCAATGTCCCCAATGCTATGAAGTCACCTGGAAGTGACATCATTGCATCAGGGACGTCGTGCAGGAACGCTTTGGTATTTGGGCAAACTCTATGGTGTTGAGGTTGGAAAAAACCATAGAGTAGCCCAAATACCAGAGCGTCCCCCACACAACATCCCCAGCATGATGACGCCACTTCTAGGTGACTAACCCTGGAATGCCCCCCCCCCGTCCCCCACTCCAGGCAAGGTAAGACCAGACCTGGCAACCTTAGTTCCTCTGGAGAGAAATGTGGCCTAAGATGCTTAAATAAACAAAATGCTAAATAATTAGACCATTTGGTGGTCGAGCTCATTCTGTGTATGCAAAAGCAATCCATGGCATTTCATGTTAAATTATCTCAGGTATCTGGCCTTTGTGTGTCTTTGGCCCTGACAGACTGCCGCTAAACAGAGAGGACCATGAGGAGCCAATAGTCTGGCCTGGTCCAAAGCAGGTTCGTGTATGTTCAGAAGGATGTAACATTCAGTTGTGTAATTAAGACTGCAGTCTTGCATAACTGCATTAAAATATTCTTGCAAATCATGCTTGCGTTTCTCTGCAAACTCTTTCTCAAGTCTTTCCCACTGAAATGGTACTGGTGGCAATCTTTTTCACACTAATTGCTATGCAGAAGTAAAATGGCTCAAAGCCACAGACAGTATTCACAGAAATGCTGCAAGAAGTAATGTGGAAATGCACCCAAGCGCCCTTATGAGAGCCATTGTGGTTGAGAGCCCGTGTGCTGTAGTGGTTAAGACTGTCAGGCCACCAGTTGTGCCATGGAAACTCATTAGATGGAAACACTGCGGTTTTCAGCAGTTCCTAAAGCTGCCCTACATCACTTCCATGTTTCCCCCAGAAGTGATGTAGCAATGTCACACGCCCAGCACTGCCTGGTAATCCTAACAAAGGCCGGGCCTTCATGGCAAAGGAGACGAGCTCCAGAAACTTCCAGAAACAAAAACCTTTTCACCCACAAGGTAGAAAATCGGCAAACCCTTTGTTTTCAAATGAGATTGCTTAATAACTGTTGTTGTTGGAGGGAAAATTCCTTGGAGGCGCCCTAGTCACCCTAAGGTACAAATTTAGACTATTAGATCAATAAGCTTTGCATTCCTCCACCATTCTTGGAGGCACTACAGATCACAAATACCTCCAATAACGTCCCTTTTGCTTGGCTGGTAGAGGAGACCTTTGGAAAGGCCACCTTGGCTTGAATGTTTGTAAATAATAATTAGGCATCCTTTGTGTGCGTGACCATTCCTCTAGTCCTCTAATGTGAACTGTGAAGGGCAGCCCCCTTCAACTGATGAATGAGCCCCACTGCGTATTCTTTGGGAGATGGAAGGGATGGGCAGTCCAGCCTGAAAGCCAGAAACAGCAGTGTCCAAGGGCACTGGCTTGTCACTGCCATCCCTCTCCACCACTTAAACTCTCTGGTAAGCAGGGGTCATGTCGTAGAAAAAGAGGTGCAGGAACTCATTACCATAACTCATTAGCATAACTTATTTGCATATGCCACACCCCCTGACATCACCGGAAGTGTGTTAGAAGGCAACACCCACCGAATGCCGGATCATGAAACTGTTTTACTGTCTCTGAAATGGACATTAAAGCAACCATATTTGGCCTCTTGTATGCAGAATGCAAAAAGAACCCCAGTCAGACTTACCTTGTTATTAACATCACACTTTTCGAGGGTCAGATTAGATTCACGCACCGTGATGCACTTTGCCAAGGCGATGTTAACAATCTGGGGGGGAACCAGTTGAAACAGATTTCTTAGAAAAGCAGTTTTGAAGCAGGCACAGATGTCCAGAAGGGAAAAATGTAACAGATAAATGTTTTGATAAAGTTGTATTTCTTAATAACTGGTAAGCCAGTTAAAGGCCATCTTGTCCACACAGAACCAAGTAAGCCAAGCTAAATTTCTGTCTTTTTGGGAGTCTTTCTGTCTACGTCTTCTTCCTGAATCCCCCCCCCCCCCTTATGGGCAGGAATGGTACCACCAGAAAGCTGAAGGGAAGGGTGTATTCTTCCCTCTAGGAAATACGTACTTTCTCTCTGGGAGTCTTTCTGTCTACATTTTCTTCCTGAATCCCCCACCCCCCCCATGGGCAGGAATGGGACCACCAGAAAGCTGAAGAGAAGGGAAGGGTGTATTTGGGGTTTATATCTTCCCCCTGGGAGAAAGAATGCCCAAATGTCTCTTCCCTCTAGGAAATACGTACTTTCTCCTTTGTGACATTATTACACCAATCCTCACTCTAATTCCATCTATTTTCATGACTAAGAACTAGTTTACACAAAACAAAGGAGCAAAGGTCCAAGAATGAATATGGGCATACAGCAATAATCACCACAGCCACTCCATCCATGCATATTCCCACCATTACGTACATATGTGCCAATAAGTTGCAACTGACTTTTGGGGACCCCAGCAAGCGGCTTTCCAGGCAAGTGCAAAGAAGATATGGTTTGCCATTGCCTTCTGCTGCAGAGCCTTCCTCGGTGGTTTCCCATCCAAGTATCAACCCTGTTTAGCTTCTGAGACGTGATGAGATCGGGTTATACCATGTTGCCTTACCTGCCATTCCCACCATTTTTATTAGCTAAGGCATATTAATTGAAGGATCGATTGCCATGCAAAATATCTGATCTAAGAATGCAATCTGGGCTGAAACCCATTATATACATGTAACATCAAGGATTTACTAAAACCGTCTTCTGCGGTTATGGTTTTGGTGTCCCAGCCTTGTGTAATGCACTGCCTGTGATCCTCTTGGTATGTGCAGTCACCGTTTTATGTGCATAAAGCAATGCATACATTTTCCAGCTTAGCTATGCATATACTGCACCCTTGAAAAGTCTGGGTTTTCAAATGCACATTCCAAAGCTGGAGAATATATCTTTTCCTAGTCACACACAATAGCAACCGGATATGATGAGAGGATCACATGTAGCACAATCTCCCCTTACTAATGGTTGAATTGCCAAAATCATAACACTGAACAGGGCTAATGTGATACATCGGATCCCATAAATAAAATCAAACAGATGCATGATAGTCATTCTTTGGTTTGCAAAAGAACATTCAAACTAAGCAAGGCTGCAGGCTTTCATTGGTAGATTTATCAATCAACAAGTGCGGACCTGCAAGAAACTTGTGGGAGCAGCTATCCCATTCCCTCCACCTTTCCTTTATCCCCTCTCCCCCTACTTCTCTCAGTCTCTCACCCTTTCTCCCTCCTGCCTCCCCTCTTCTTACTCTCTCTCTCCCCCATGCCTGTCACGTTCTCTCTCTTTCAGCCCACCACCCAATCACTCTCTGCCTCCCATCATTCCCCCAGCTGCCTGCCTACTTCCTCTCACCCCCACAGCAGCAGCAGTGGTGGAGGTGCTCCCAGATGCCAGTCTGCTATCCCCCCACACAATAGCAGAGGTGGCAGCATCCCTTCCGGCTGCCTGCCTCTGAGTTGAATTTGCAGGGGGGAGGGATTTTACAAAAACAATCATTTTCCGGCAAATTTTTAGATTTTTCTGTAAATCCGGGGGTCCCCCCAATTTTGCAGAAAAACCTCCTCACTCTCCACCTGTCCCTGATCCACAGATTTAAATATCTGCAGATCAGGGCAGAGTTAGCTATTAGTTATCTAGATAAAAGCTTTGGTTGATTAATTGACTGAGGTCAATTTCAATGAGCTGGCCACTCCTATTTATTTGTTGCGATTATTTCAACTGGTAGTAAAAAGGAACTTATGAAAGATCGCCTGTCTCTCCAACAATGTGCTGGCATTTGCCTATTAAACTGTTTTTTCATGCTCTTAAAAATATATTTACCATTAATGAATTGGCTAGAAAGTTTGTGATTAATCAGCTAACATTCTTTAGTCTGCTGATAGCCCTAAAATCAATCCTTTTTGCTTTGATACCCCGAGCTTTCTGTTTACTGCTTCTAAATGCTAGAAATCCATTCTATGTTTGTGTGTGTGTGTGTGTGTGTGTAGAAGTAAAGCCATCCACATTTGCAGGCTATCACTAACCTAAGCCAGGGACTGGTTAAAAAAGCAATTCTCCACGGCTGACCTTATGCAGTCTATTTGATTGCCCAACCCATCAGAACAGTCTATTTGATTGCCCAACCCATCAGATCTTGCCTAACCAAGACTAATTCAACGTTTTGTTTTGTTTTAAAACCCTCCTCTGAGTTAATCATGTGAGCTCCAATTTGTTAACATAAAGGTCAGAAAAATAAATATAAATAAGTGGCTAAGCCCTCCTGCTGTCACCAGAGCTTGGTTTGTTAATGGATTCAGAAGCCGAGTGAGTGAATACATACTGCCTTCATCCAGGTGAGTCCTAAGTGGCTTCTAAAGTATTTCTCAACTCTTGAATTTCTCTTCTTTCCTCCTTTCTCCTGTGATGGATCATCCCAGGGCTGTGGACCATGCCACTAGTCTACTCTCTGCTCTCCAACTATTCAATCCACTTTGAACTTGAAGAAACCAGGTGGGAATTCATGTGATCATCAAAGGCTGGACAATGAGGCTGCAACGTTTTCTAAGCATTGCATTCTATGCCAGGTGCAATGGGATAAATGCAGGCACCAACCCAAGGCTGCAGAGGAATGTTGCATGAATGTACATTCAGGAAGATTCAGAAACCTGTCAGGAACAAGGGTGGTATTTCCCTCACTTCCAGGTTTTGCTGGTGGGAAGTTACTACCTCCTTATGAGTGGCACAACTGATGGCCCAGATAGGGTTCTCAGGTCCTTACTTTGTTCTGGCAGGGGGGGCTCCTCCCTTTGTCCTGGAGTCTTTTTTGTGTGCATGCAGTGATGATGTCACCCAGAGGTGACATCATAATGCAGGGCATGTTGCAGGGGGACGCTCTAGCATTTGTGAAAAGACTCTATGGTAACCTTAGAGTTTTTTCTCAAATGCTTGAGTGTCCCCCCCGCAATGTGCCCTGCGCGATGACATCACCTCCAAGTGATGTCATTGCACCAGGCATGTCGGTGCCAATGGGGCTGCTTGGAAGCGGAACTGTCCATTGGCCAGCTGAGTGGTGGCGGATTGGGCCCCCCAAAAGCAGGGAAAACCCCACCCCCATTGGGGGGACGGCAACCCTAGGCCTGGTTTATTCCTTTATGTTGTGGTGGGTACTGACAACTGCTCTCTTGTGTTCAAGCCACTTTGGGTCCCTGATTAGGGAGAAAAACAGGATAGAAATAAATAATAGTAATAACGCATGATAAGCATAACTCCTCCTACAACCTCATCGTTGTTATTGCGCTTCAGTCATTAAAATAACCAGGAATAACACGTGACAACTTGGAACACATAGACAGCCTACTGTCAGTGGTCTCAATGTAATTGTGACACTGCCACAGAAAGCAACCACATACACTAGACGGTCCTGATGCGGACCACTGTGTGGACTGATGCTGTGTGGGAGCTGGGCAAACAGAGCAGGCATGCCCAACTTCGAACAGGTAGTGATCTATTTTTCCCGGCCAAAAGTGCCGGTGATCTACCACCATGAAAATAAAGTTTCAAATTAAGTTTCAAGTTAGATTTTAACCCACTAAAGCTGGGTTCCACCGCCCCCCCCCTTTATAATGCACCTTCTGTCATTTACTGGTAAGCAAAATAAGCAATAACAGAACAGAGAGACCACCAATACCACCAAACAATCATCAAAAAAAACCCAAACACCTGTCCAGCAAACCAGGAGACCAAGTGGGGCTGGTGATCTACCTCTGACCTAGATCGCGATCTACCTGCTGGACATACCTGAAATAGAGTAATGTGGAGGCCTTCAAAGGGAACATGTAACAGTGAGCGTGTTGGCCCTGGAAGGGCTCTTTCAGTTCTTTAGTCAGCCATGACACTCACTGTGTGATCTGGCAACCCCTCCCCTCCCCTCTCCCCTCCAACTTATGGCTGTTGTGATAACATGGTTCTTTAACATCTTGGAAGGAAAATTAATAAAATATTAATGATGTAGGTAAAAAAGTCTGACAGAGTGAACACTCCAGGAAGAATATTCTTTATCTGCCACAATAATCTTCAACAGGTCATTCATTGGAACGACCACTATAAGGAACTTCCTGGTTGTTCAGAACTTTCCCCAGACACTTGCTCAGAGTGCCCCCACCTATGAAGGGTGAGGCAGCTGCCCCACCAGAGACAACGTGCTTTCTTCACCGGGACACTCTTCATCTCTGAAAAGCCCTTACTTTACCGTCCCGGAGGAGTCCGGGACTTAAGCGAGGCCAGGTTGGGCTTTAAACTTTAAAGGTAAGTGCTTACCTTTAAAGTTTAAATGTAAGGGGGGGGTTTAAGCATGCGCAAAAATCGCCATTCTCTGAATGGCTGCCTGTGCGCATGCTCAAACAGTCCTTTAAAAAAAAAAACGCCGACGCCCGCAGCGTGTGAGCGGGCGTCCACCGGAGGGCTCCGCAGACAGGAGGGTGAGTCTGATCGCGTTTCTGCCAGCATAAACTGCACCGGTTCCAACCGGTGCAGTTTATGCCGGCATAAACGCCCCGTCTGAATGCACCCACCGTGTGATCTGGCAACCCCTCCCCTCCCCCCTCCAACTTATGGCTGTTGTAATAACATGGTTCTTTAACATCTTGGAAGGAAAATTAATAAAATATTAATGATGTAGGTAAAAAAGTCTGACAGAGTGAACACTCCAGGAAGAATATTCTTTATCTGCCACAATAATCTTCAACAGGTCATTCA